TTTGCAGATGAATATGTACATTATTTGTCCATGGATGTATACTTCCTGGACATTGGCTTCCTTGGTAACCATAATCATGTGATTATGCTTGGGAGGATCCTAATCATTGTGGGTGGCCACCCATCACTTTCATATGTTTCTGATTTTTTTTTAAAAGGTATATAAGGGTGTGTTTTACCCTTTTGCAACATGCTCCTTTGATAAAGGCATTTTTTCTGCTGAAACGTTGGGGACTTGCTAGTTCTGGCTCACTATTTCTGGTATGAATTGGTTTGTCTTATATGTATTATTTGTTGGGTTGCTATGTCCTGGTATCTTTATGACTTAGACTTAGAAACTCTGTTACTTATGAACCTGTTTATCATTCCTGCTTGGATATAATTGCAGGATTTCGTGCATTTTTTTTTTGTACTATTATCAAGTGATTTATGCTTCGATTATCTGATATGCATTTTAAGATACCTGGTTTTTGTGGACCTATTTAATAAAGTGTCTTTTTATTTTTACATTTGTGCTCCTCATTGAGTAGTATTTGTAGATTTATTTGGTCCTTGAGGAATAGGACCTTGTTTGAGTGAGCACCCTGTCTTATTTTATTTTACTTATTTTGTTTTTGGATATTTCCTCTGATAGCATTTGACTGGATGTGCCTACCTTTTCCTAATTAAAATTATCTATGTTTATCTTGACAGGTCAGGTTCAATCGATCACGTATCACTCTTATCACTCCCATATGGTAAGTACTAAAAAACCCACAGGTTTGCTAGCTTATTTACCATTTATGTCACGGGATGTCAAGAGGCTTGGCTCTTTATACTTGACCCATGCATGATCCACCCTATGAATATATTCAACCATTTTCATCAATTTATGTTTCATGTTCATATACACTCTTTCTCTACGTTTTTCTGTCTAAGGGGAACTGACTTCTCTCACGTTGTCTGTTATGTTTTTGTACCTCACTTGTTCTCCCTAAGCTAAACAGGTATACTGTAATCTCATAAATTGTTCCACTGTTTATAGATATCACATTTTACATTTATAAGATAGTAAAAAAAGGTCACATTCAGGTTTTTTCCCTTACAGTCAAATACGTTCACCATCTATTACGAAGGGTAAGTGGAGTTACATCCTTCTTTTCACTTTCCCTATTATCTATTCAGGCTTCATGGTAATCTGGTTGTCCTATCTCTGTAGAGTGTACTTGCTAGATTCTCTCTTAAAGACCATCTTGTTTACGAAAATAGGTACATTAACCATTACAGTCAAATACGATATGTTTCAAGCCCCGGTACGGGGACAGAGGTTCAGGTGCTGGTCCGGGGGGGTAACATCACAACAGAAGTACTATCCAGTTCTCAATTTTAGCAATGTTCAACTTGCACCCACCATCAACAGACATCTGACAAAATCCCTGCATTTAGAGAAGCTGGTTATGGTTTTATTTTACTCGCACGGTCACTATTCCATCACACTCGTTCCATGATTTCCAAAACTACTTACGTTCAGGACTTTAACAGATTTTGGTAGGTTAAGTTTTAGTGTCCCTATGCAGGAAATCACTACATCAGGACCTTGATGACTTTTGGGCCTTTCTAACATTTACAAAATAACACAACACTACTAATTCTTAACTTCCAGTCACTTCACGGGCATCCACTCATCCCAGTCCCCATCATTAAATTGAATAGAAGGTTATCACTGTATTCAGTACTTAGATTTTGCTTCATGAATAGAGCTTGGGGAATCGTTCAAGCATGCTAAAAGTGTGTTTTTCACTGATCCCTTTTTTGCCCACTTTATACAGGCTACCCATACATTGGTATCGCCACAACACTACCAACTTACCTCTCCTTTTACTGTCACATTTACAATTAAATTCCAACCACAAGTAAAAGGCCTGAATTTGTGGGGGGAGTTTCCCTATAAAATGCAATCTCCCCTGCTTACCTGTGCTGTTTTCTGTTCAAGTGACTCCACCCACCGCTCCCTTAAATTAACTCCATGATACACCCCTTTTTCCTTGGTCGGCCCTCTTTATACAGGCCTACTTGTATGTTGGTATTGGCACAACACTACCAACTTATCTCTCCTTCTACAGTCACATTTACTATTAAGTTCCGAGCACAAATATTTATTAACTGTACAATAAGGAAACATACTATAGTAAAACCTGCTTGTGAAACATGTTTTTTTGTATTTCTTGATTTTTAATGTAGCCCTATGTAACAAGCCCAGCTTAGTGGAAAGGGTCTTGACAGAGCTTGGAGGCGGGCATAGGAGGAAGGCCGCCAGGGGATTGGGAGTTGGATTGTTAGGGGTTGTCCCAGTATAAATAGGCAGCCATTTTAGAATTAGGCACTTTTTATAGGCTTACCTGGTCTAATTTGTGTACACTTCCTGTCTGAAGATTGGGCCTGGTAGCTTTCTGCTTTCTTTTGCATGATGGATCCGGTGGAGCAGCTCCTAGTGGAGGTGAGAGGAGCAGCGAGGGATCGTGGAGCGGCATGGGTGCAGGAGCGCCTGGAACTGGTCCTTACGGGGGTCCAGAGTGGTGGTGAGATGGGCCACTTGACACGGAGGTCTCTACAGCGGCTTAGACAGGGCCGGGACATCAGGCCCACCAGTGGGGATGGAGCGGAAGCGGCTGCACAGAACCGCGAGACTCGTGATACTCTGTGCTCTGCCCCCCGATGATGGCGTGACAGGCCAGGGGCGTGGGAGTGCACAGCCAGCAGTGCAGCCCTCCAGTCAGGGGAGGCCACGCTGGAAATGGTAGCTGCTGTGGTCGGCAGTGGGGGCCCAGGACTGCGGTATATCATAGGGCCGTTCTCCAGGAGGGTGGACCCCAGAACCTTAAGGGACGATCACAGGGCCCACGGAATGTCCACATCTGGGGTTGCTGCAGTGGGCCCCTCCTCCCCTTGGGGTGCCACTGGGGATCATCTGGGGCTCTTTCAAGTCAGGCAGGGGACCTGTCTAGTGGACTTGGGGTCAGGAGGGGTGACGATCCCATGGGTAGTACTGGTCTGACATGGCAGGGATGTTGCAAGACGGCTTTGCTGCCTGGTGGCGCAGTGCAGGCATGGTGCATGGGGGGAGTTAGTGCCAGTGAGGGGGGCGCAGGATAGGCATAACACCCCTGTGTTTTATGGGTCCCCTAAGGGTAACTCAGGGAGGCCTGCATCAATGTCAACCATGCCGTGCAAGAGTAGCCGAGCAGGGCATGACAAGGTGGCGCTGTCCCCGAGGCCCTTGGAGAAGGTTGGTACGGGTTCGGCTGGCAGGCGTCTGCTGCAGGCCATGCTTCGATCTTTCAGGATAGCAGAGACGGATTCCTGGAACAGCAAGTGGTCCCTGATGGTTGCACTTTGTTTCACAGCGGGGAATTGCACAGGATGAAAAAATAACATAGGAGACGCCGGTCATGTGGCAGGGCTGGCTCTCCCAAGGGAGAACGGCCCCCAGAAGATCCAGGAGTAGGAGGTGGAACCCAGTGGGCTCTGGGGTCAGCAGCCTGGGGTCGGTTGGCAGCGGTGCCCATGTGATTCCCACTCAAGGTCCGGGCATCTGTCGACCATTTGGTAAGTTCTGGATCAGAGACCTGTGGGAGTTTCCCCAACTATCATGGCAGGAGTCGCAGCCCCAGGGGTAAAGTAAGCATAGTGTGTCTGGTGTCCACAGTTGCCGGGGTGGAGGAGAGTGGGTTGGAGGCCACTCACTGCAGGGGGGTATCTGGTGAACGGTGCACCCTGCCCAGGATTGTCTCTGCTCATTTCAGGTCACGGAGCCAATCTTTTTCAAGGCGTTCCCAGCATAGGGTGGTTTCTTCGGCTGGAGAAGGGCTTTCACGAGCTGTAAGCTCTGGACCCGTTAGAGCCCGTGATGCAGCCCAGGGGGCTACGCAGGCTGGGGGCTTGGTTGGTGAGTCAGACAACACACAGCACTCACAGGGTTTTATTGATTAATTGCAACGGTTAATCGATTCCTGGGGCAAGGGTGTACTTGCAGGGGGTGGATGTTAGTAGAGTGTGAGATCCAGGTTTGGGTGTGTTGGGAGGTACGAGTTATGTGGGGTGCTCTGTGTCAGGTGTTGGAGCGGTGGTTGCAGCGGGGGCTAAGGTGGCGTCAAATGCGACTGCGGTGGCATCGGAGTTGGGCACGGAGAGACCAGAACTGTTCAGGAGCATTCCAGATGCTGCATGGCAGAATGCGTTCATTTCCTTTGCGGGTCCTTTAGGGTTGCATTTGAAGTAGGAGGTGAAGGAGAAAATATGAACATACCCCCAGATAGCTTAGATCTGAGCTCACATTATTACTGAATGGCGCTCAGATTACATACATACAGTTCAATCGCCATGGAGCAAAAGTCTTTCACATAGTCTTTCGTTATACGAATGGACTCCATGGGATAGCTATCTGGGGTAGCACTGTTCACATAACCAAAGTCCCAAATGGCCCGGCATTTGTATAAACGAATGAGAACAAGAGGAGGGAGGTCGGCGGCTTCAGCAGTGTTCGTGAAGAAAAGTGTCTGTTTTCAGTTCCATGAAATAGTCGATGAACACCGCTGTGCATTTGATAGCTTAAGATGGCCGCCGCCACGTGTTCGGGTATAAGAACGACGGCCACCCAGCGTTTGTCAATTAAGCTACGGTTAACCGCAGCTTCAGGGAGGTAAATTGCTGGCACACTCCATACCCAGGTGGTCCAGTCATTCGTACGTTTGTTCGGTAAATTGAATTTACCAAACGCCATAGCAGAAAGGCACGAACAAGCATTTCTACAGGGAGGAATACAAGTTTTAACATAGGGGCCATAGTCCTGAGGCAGCGGTCGAGCAACCAGGCTTCTCCAGGACCTAGTGGCGAGGTTATTTTTGCCACACAGGGTAAATATGGGGCCCTTTTCTGGAGTGAGATCCGGTGGGGCTGTTCCCGTTGCCACGGGGATCACTGCCAGTGAAGTTTGATGTGATCTTACCGTTGCTAAGCCGTTATGTTTGTGGAGGGTGTCTATAGCCTGTTGCAAGAAAGGGGGGGTTCAGGAAGTGTGCGTAACGTGAAATCGGTCTTTGAATTGGGTAGGATGGTGGCCCATTTATGTCCCTGAAGTTTCGCCTGATTCACTACCTCTCTCATCCTAAAGGGGTATCGGTGAATGATGGACTGCCATCACCTTTTGGGTTATTCCTTGAACAGTTCGTATTTCATGGACTTGTGTCTCCCGATGGGTTGCTCGATTTCATGCGCTTACTTTGAGAAATTTAGCACTTTCTTGGAGTGGGTGGTAAAGACGGAGGCGGTGTGTCAGTCGATGGTCCACTATCTGGATGACTTCTTATCTGTGGGCCCTGCTGACTCTTAGTGCTGTTTTCACTTGCTGCAGACCACTGAGGGGATGGCAGATAAGTTTGGGCACCCTCTTGTGGTTTCCAAGATGGAAGGGGGGCATGTCTCGACTCCCTCTTATGGTGTATGTTTGAACTACTGGCCGGGGGAGCTTTTCCAGCAGTGGTGGATAGAAATATGGCCGCACTCACAATTTAGTTTAAACTGCGTGATCCACCAGGCTCTAAAGTGTTTTTCCTGAAGGGGCGTAGGATCCCAGATACACGGCGACTGGTGTCCATAAGTGTTTTGAGGAGCCTGCTGTGGGTGCTGCCTGAGATTTGCTTCTGTGACTACGAAGCTGGTTTGTTTGGCACTGCATTTGTTTTGGACTTTTTTAGGGCTTTTCGTATTGGGCAGCTTGTGAGCGCTAACAGACAAGATCTTGGTGGCATTCAGGTGGCAGATATCCGGCTTGGGGTGGATGCTGTGGTGATTCACTTACCTAGGTCGAAAACGGATGTGCAGAGGAAAGGGATGGATGTGGTTTTGCATTCTCTTCCAGGCTCACAGTTGTGCCTGGTTACCATTCTCACACGGTATTGGGCATTGCGGAAAACAGGGAAGGGTGCATTTTTCTTGCACAAGGATGGTTCGTGGCTGTCCCACTTCCAGTTTGCCAGGGTGTTTCGCTTGGGGCTTGAGCATTTGGGTTTGAGGCTGGTCCAGTTTAGTATGCACTCCTTCTGGACTGGGGCAGCTATGGAAGCCACACGCCTGGGGCTCCACAATGAGCTGGTGAAGACAATAGGGAGGTGGGAATCAGTTTGGTTCTGTTCGTATGTGTGGCTGGTGATGCTGGTGTGAACGATGTCGTGGGTTTGGTGGATTCTCCTTTGGTTGCGCTCAGCTGATATTCTTATTTGTCTCCGTAGGTCGAGTTGCTTGGATCATGGGCCATTCGTTCATTTTCTGGGCAAAGAGGAGAGCTGCAGCTCGTTTCCAGGATCAGCAGCTGGACTTTCCTGTGGACCAGATCTTGATCAAGTGGCTTGGTTGTCAGGGAGCCTGTTGAGGGAATGTTACTGGGGCAGTAGTGATGTCCCTAACTGTTCACCGAACAGTTCGCGAACTGTTCGCCACGGTTCACCACGAATGGTTCGCGCGGACTCCAGTCAGCTGACACATTCCAGCCAATCAGCAGCAGACCCTCCCTCCCAGACCCTCCCACCTCCTGGACAGCTCACTAAGAATGCAGCTTTAAAATGGATGCTGTCCAGGAGGTGGGAGGGTCTGGGAGGGAGGGTCTGCTGCTGATTGGCTGGAATGTGTCAGCTGACTGGAGTCCATGGCGAACCGTCCGTGGCGAACCGTTCGCGAACCGTTCGGCAAACAGTTCGGGACATCACTATGGGGCAGTGTTTCGCCTAGTGGAAGGTGGGAGAACGCCTGATTTACTGCTGTTGCATGCAGGAGGCAATGGTTTGGGGCTAGTGTCACAAAGACACTTGGTTACATGAATGAAGCAAGATATTAACCGGCTACAAGACTTAGTCCTTGGGGTTTTGGCCGTTTGGTTTGAAATGGTCCCCCGACTTCAGTGGTGTCACGCCACTGCCGGGGTAAGGTGAATAGCTTAGCTTTGTCAGGAAAGTTGGTGGGATGTGGTGATTTGGCACAGGGAACTTGAATACAGGTTGCCAGGGTATTTTTGGCAGGACGGGGTCCACCTCACAGATATGGGGTGGGATCGCTTGAATTTGGGGTTCCAAGAAGGGTTGAGTATGGCCTTGTTCCTTAGGGGTGGCGGAGCTCAGACAAGGTCTGAGCTTGTGACAGGGCTAGAGAGAAAAAAATTGTAGGATAAACAGCCTCTAGATTTTAGAATTTAGGCACTTTTAATTTGCTTAGCTGGACTAATTTGTTCCTCCCTCCCAATGTTAAGGTGTGAGGGCAGGGCCGGATTAACATAGGGACTGATGGAACTGCAGCTCCAGGCCCATGCACATGGAATAGGCCCATTAATTTAAAAAAATATATATTTTTTTTCCTTTTTTTTTTTTACTACTTTTCACATGCTCTTGCTTAAGTATGGAAACTTAAGAGGGATGTAGGGGAACAAAACTGGTGTGGACTGGCTAACAATGAAATTAGTTAACATGACTTTGTGCACTATGCAAATGCTCTTGCTGCTTTGGTCTTTTTCTTCTACACTCACTGCATACACTCTTTCTCTCTCCCAGACTATATACCAGGAGATTCTGCCTGCTTGTAAGATGGTAAGGACCAGCGAGTGCTAGGGGACAGTTCTTATAAAGCACGGAGCGAACGCATCACTAAACGCATTTTTGCCAAGCTCAAGGTGCTGTCTGCATAGTATGCCCTTAGCTGGCCAACCTGATTGGCAGGCAGCTTGCCATGCATTCATGGCAGGCTGACCATCTAATTTGTTGGGCAGGCACTCACTCTTTTTGGGCAGTTCTGGTTACTTGATTTGCGTCACCAGACGCCCACAGCACCTGCTGTTAGAGGGTATGAATTTACATGAAAGAGGAAAGAGAGAGATTAGCATAGGGTATGTGCTTTCTTATAGCTATATCCTGTGAGTTTACCTCCAGATGCATGACACTTAGGAGGTATGACTGTTTTAGTGTTTTCTGTCGATAAGATTCTGTAATGAAGCCCATCATAATTGTCAGCACCAGGCCCAATGGGCTCTTAATCTGGCCCTGGGTAAGGGGTTTTTAGCTCCTGTTTGGTCACAGCGGTGGGGCTAGAAAGAAAAAAGGTTAGAGGACAAACAGGCTCTGGGTTAGTTTAAATAGAATAGGGCAGTTAGGCTGCTGGTTAAGAGTTTGGTTAAACTGTTCGTTATGAACTTTGGTAGGTTTCGAGCTCGGTGGTGGCTCAGAACCTGGTGGGTGGTGGGGTATCTGTGTATTTAACAAAGTGTGGTACATTAAATTATGTTTATGATGTTTGTTATTATTGTTATTTTTGTTATTTATGCTTATGGTTAAAATAAGGGTCATTGCCTTTTGTTTCGGGGACATATGGTGTTGTATGGTGGGATGAGGCGGGGCAATGACTTTTATTATGTTGATATTACCATTAAAAAAAGTTGTAGACATATTGACCCATACATTAGTGTCAGTGTTTTATTGGGTAGTAGTTTGGGGGATAATTCCACCTGCCCATATGGCGACTATGCGCCTGTCATGTAACCCTATTGAACAAACGCAGCTTAGTGGAGAGCTAGGAGGTTTGCTACTTTGTCTTATGTGTTTTTCCTATTCCTGACTTTCTCTGACACAAGAAGGAGTTTAAGTCAGCTCTATTTCATGTGTCAAAGAAAGTATTCACACTCCACCATGGACCTAATTTAACGATCCAGCCCATCCCAAAGATGCTCAATCAGATTTAAATCCAGGGAATTTGGAGGACTAGGTAACACCTTAAACTTTTTGCGATGTTCCTCAAACCATTCCTGAAACTGTTTTCACTGTGTAGCTGCGATCAGGGAACATCATTGACATGAAGAGGTGTATGTTGTCTGCCAGGACCCAAGGTTTCCAAGCAGAACGTAATACTGCCTCTGCCATTTTCCTTCTTCCCATAGTACTTCCTACTGCAATCTCTTCCTCAGGTAAACAACACATACGCACCTGGCCAACCACCTGATCTAAAAAAAAAATGTGATTCATCAGACCTGGCACATCTTTTTTCATTACATGGGTCAGTTCTAGGCACTTATCTCCATTGAAAGCGCTTTTGGTGGTGGACAGTCTGCAGCTACACAACCCCATACGCAGCAAACGGCAATGCACTGTGTGCTCTGACACCTTTCTATCATGGCATGCATTACGTTTTTCAACAATTTGAGCTGTTGTAGCTCTTCTGTGTGATCAGAGATGACAGGCTAGCCTTCGCTCACCACATGCATCCTGATGCTGGTGTCCTTCCTTGCACTATTTTTGGTACTAACCACTTCATATTGGGAACACCCCACAAGACCTGCCATGGAGAAGCTCTGACCTCGTCATCTAGCCATCAGTATTTGGCCCTTGTTAAAGTTTTCTTTTCTTGTCTATTTTTTCTGCTTCCAACACATTGCATTAAAAAACTGACTGCTCCCTTCCTGCCTAATATACCCTTCCTTTAACAGATGCCATTGTATTGATATAATCAATGTTATTTACTTCAATTGTCAGTGATTTTAATGTTGTGGCTGAATAATGTTGAGTGTCAGTGTGTATGCCTAGAATATATATGTGTAGTATAAATATGTTGCACATTATACGGTTCTGAACATATTTCTTTCTATTTCTAAATCTAACCATGTCTCCTTGTAGTTGCCTCACCTTTTATTTTTCTCTATCTCTTCTCACCCATGTTTTCTGCATCAAAGACATAGTCACTCTTCCCTGGATTTATACTAATAATTAAAGATAGAGCAATAGACCAGGGTGATGTTTAAGAGGGGCATGTCATATTTTGTGGAAGACCTCCACAATGACCACTGATGCTGGCCACTTTTTTGGGCATCATAGTTTACTTAAATTACTAGCAGTGGATATTGTTACAATGCTGTTCTTTTAATATGCTGTTCATATAAAAAGCATGCTACTCATGATAATTAAATAATATCAAACAGTATGATATTAATGAATGAATTCTCAAGATAATATTTTCTTTCAAATAACGTGATGATTTGTTATTTGCAGTTTTCTTGGAGCAACACAAGGCTGCTGCATTTACAAGAGGAAAAACAAATATAGTCATTCATGCTCTTCTGTTTAAACTTTTGTCAAGTTTAGCAAGCCTCTGGGCTTTCTTTTCATTCGTTCCCATATCAAATGTTCATCTCAACCCCCTTATTTAAATCTTGCATGGGCAATTTAACTGCAGATTCCCTGTA